CATATCACATTTACTTGAATATATAAGACCTCCACAATAATTGGATTCTATATATAGAAAATTTATCAGCTTGTTATAATTTTCCAAGTATAGAATCCAAGTATTAGAAGGTTGTCTTGAATACCCTCCCCACCACCGCTACAGCAGGGAAAGCAGTGGCTGGGGGGCAGGGGTTAGGTAGCCCCCTTACCCTTTCCTGTCCACTTTATCCCCCTGCAGCCTTCCTGCTCCCCCTGCCATCTGCATCCTCCCAACTCCCCATAGCCTCTAACCTTCCCCACATCTCTGTCCCTTTCTCCCCCTCCCCACCCTACCCTACCCCATACTGTCAGATGCTGCTCAGGCTCCTCTGTCCCACAACACAGCATGTGGAAGCTCAGTCCCTGCCTGGCCATGCAGCAGTGCTGACACTGCTGACTGGCTGGCCAGAGGAATCATAGAATCATAGAAGTAGGGTCGGAAGGGACCTTGTAGATCTTCAAGTCCAACCCCCTGCCTGGGCAGGAGAAAAAACTGGGAAGGAGTTTCCATGTACTCCATGCCTGAGACAGACCCTAGCACAAGACAGAGGTAGAGGTGCACCTTAAAGAATAACTGAATCAGAGATACTTTCATGGGAAGGGGGAAAGGAAAAGGAAGAAGAGGGTGCTGACAAGGCAAACAAGTTATAAACCCATACAAATAAAGGGGCCACAAAAGTCAATTCAAATAATGGGACAAGAATCCTTGGTCCCCATTTAGACCATGCTTCACACAATCCAGTTTGAAAATAAGTTCTTTTGCACAATTTCACATTCAAATTGGCTTTTAAAGTTCTGCCGTATAAGGTCAGTGACACAATGTCCAAGGAAATTAAGGTGTTCTGCCACAGGTTTGGGTATGGTTTTAAACTCAATATCAAATCAGTGTTCCCTCATTGTTTCATCTAGAGACTGCCCCATTTATTGAGCGTAGACAGTCAAGGGGCATTGTAAGCAAGTGATGGTGTATGACGTTGGTAGAGGTGCAGGTGAATGAACCTCACATGTCATAATGGATATTATTTGGTCCAGCGATGATGTGGTCTGTACTGATGTGAGGGAACATCTTGCATCTGCACCCTGGTCAAGAACCACTGTTCTATTGCCTCAGCTCATCTATTTTATCAAATAAACATAATGCAGGCAAAAGCCCACCCTAGCATCAGATAAAACCCAATGCAGCAATGGCAATGTGACAGCCTAGAGATAAATCCATAGAACTGTGGCACTCAGCTGGCCAGCTCTTTAGGCTGCTGTGCCAATGCCACAAGGTGGAACTATCCCATGTGCACCTCTGTTTTCAGAAAGCACATGCAGAATTAGACTGGGATGCAGCTGTGACAGAAGGGGGTGTTCCTGCCTGCATTATGTTTATCTAGATCAAGGATCGGCAACCTGTGGCCCATGGGCCAGATATGGCCTGTGGACATGGGGCTTCGATGGCATTCATAGGTGGGGGTTTTGGCAGAGATTGCCTTTCCCTGCCGCCACACGGAAAAGCAGTGGCTGGGTCCTAATACCGACTTCCCCACCCACCTATGACACAAACCGAGTCAATCCAGCCTGCAGCCTTAAAAGGTTGCTGGCCACTGATCTAGATAACTAGAAAGTCTTTAGATAAACTGAATTGTCCTTCAGACCCTTGGTATGATTTATGAGGTCAGCTAGGGTGTACGTGCAAACTGAATAGGTATTGTTGACAACAAAAAATCCCTGGTCTTGAAGAATATGGTGCATACGCATCCCTGGTTTACCGATTAACCTAGTGCAGGCAGGAGCACCCCCTCCTGCAGCAGATGCTTTCCCATCCAGCTCCATGCATGCCTCCTCAAAACAAAGTCACACTGGGTAGTTTCACTTGGCTGCAGATGCTGGGGGTGCCATGGCCACCCAGGTGAGAACCACTAATGTGTACACACACACACACACACAGCTGGAAAACGCTAACAGGTCAATTTCTAATTTCCTAGGCCAGTGGGGTCCAACCTTTTTGGCAGGTGTGCCACAAATTAGTCCTGAGCCCTCACCAAGTTACATTCCAATCCCTTTCCCTTACTCAATCTGCTTCTCAGCTTTCTGTTCCCTGAACAATCTGCTGCTCTGCTTTCTGCCCTGTGCTTCCTGTCTAAGCTGATGCTCTGCTTTCTGCTCCCTACCCTATCTGCTCCTGTGCTGCCTGTCCTCTCCCCAGTCTGCCATGTGCCACACAAGAGGCTTCCCATGCCACTTGTGGCACCCATGCTGCATATTGGTCATATTAGCCTAGGACCTCTGTCCTAGGCTAACTCTAATGCACATATTGTACTGTTCATATCAACTACCTTTATGATGAAAACTAGTAGTTATTTTGTATTAGCAATATATATAGAAAGGATCTGGAGTTAAAAGGTCCCTGTATACATATCACCATGGATGAATATATAATATATGCTTAGAAACCAGGGTTTTTTTCTTTGTCAGCAGTACCTGCCTGGTTTGCACAGACAAACTAGCTGACCTCATGACCCATAACAGAGATCTGGAGGAAAATGCAGCACTGATAGGCCTTTCAGTTCTTCCTCCACTACAGGTCTCAGGAAGTCAGACAGAGATGCTCTGAAGCAGCCCCACCACTTAGGTCTGCAGTGTGGATGCAACAGTAGGTGGAACAGACCAGCTTGGGTCCGTCTGCCACAGTATAGACCAGGTACTCAACCCTGAGCCCATACACCAGATCCAGCCCACAGCACTGTGTCATCTGGCCCACAGGGCTCCTGACAGATCCAAAAATTTGGCAGCAGGGGGGCAGTGGCACCACTTCCCTGATGTCAAATTTCCAGATGCATGGGGAGTTCTGGTCCCTGTACACCAATCAGGTACCCAGTCCCAGAGTGGAGGGCCAAAACAGGGCAGCACCAGGACCCAGTCCCAGCACATGAAAGGGAGGGGGTAGTGCTGGATCCCAGGGGCTGATCTAGCCTGTGGACTGACTCTGTGCCACTTATCTGACCCACAGGACACAGCCATATCCTACACTTGCTGTAAAGTTACTAGGTGCTTAAACATATATAGACATTCTTGGCAAGCTGTTCTATAGGTATCATAAATGGGAGCTCTAATAGTTGGGTGAAAACAATCTATATTGTGGTATCTATCGACTTGTTTCCAAGCAGCATGAAACAGAATTATTAATATTTACTCCAAGGACAGCTGTAACCAAGATTTTCAGGGACTTGCCCTTTCAATTAGATGGGTAGGCTGATCAAGATGCCCATTCTAGAGGCGCACCAATACATCGGTCCAATATCAGATCAGCACCAATATAAAGAAAATTGTGTGCATTGGAAATCAGCCTGATGTAGCTGATAATTTGTCCAATAAATGTCCGTGCATGCACACAGCCACAGAACAGCATGTAGGCAGCAAAGAGCACAGCCAGCAGCGTGGAGAGCTGTCTGCAGCTGGTAAGCCTATGGGGGAAGAGGAAGAGAAAGGAAGGGCTGTGGAGAGGGGGCGCAGATCAAGGCCCCCCCGTGGTGAGGGAGGGAGTAACACACACAGACCTGCATTTTCACTGACCTGCCTCTTGTATTTTGGCTTCTATTCTACCCAGGAGAGCTCACAGTTCAGAAACAGACTCCCAAGATGCCTGAATAAGGGTCTTTGTGCCTGAACGATTGCAAAGAACAATTTTTCCAACTATTTAGTTGGTCTATTAAAACATATCACATCTACCCAAAGACTCTTATCTTCCTAAGAACATATACACACACGGCCTGAATATCCACTGAGACCTGCTTTTTAAACAGGTAATCTCATTAAAACCAGAATCTATATTGTACTTAAAAATAACTAAAATAAGTTTTCAAATGATACACACACCTTTATTTAGCTTCAGTCTAAAGTGTCTTTTTCCGCTTTACGCAGTTTACACCGTTTTCACCCAATATGGCAATAAACGACCAAAACAATGTCTCAATATTAGAAAATGAGCAGCTGATTTTTCCTCCATCTTACTAAGTCCTGCTTTTGTCAGTGTTAAGGTCAGCTGCAATCAGGAAATAAGCATACAGTTTCCAAAAATCTAAACTGAAGATTTATGAGGCGAAGAAACAAATTACAGGCAACACTGGGTTTGATATAAAAAACATCACTTGGTTAAGCATACACTAATGTTTATTTAAATTTAACCAGTTAACACAGACTAAGAACAGATGTTGTATTGTCACAAGGTGTGCCTGTGTTTGTCCTAGAACAGAAAAAAAAGTCCCAGGACTGGCGTATACATACATCACTCTTTAAATCAGAGTACAGTAAATGAAAGCGGTGCCCCTTTTCAATGAGATAATCCTGGGACAAGCACTCACATGCACTTTGCAATGACCCAGGACAAGCTATTGGCACTTCTTATCCCATGAAACTTTTCAAGGTTTGTCCTGGGACTACAGACACGGATGTTTGAACGACTATACATTGCCCTGGGAAAAAATGGTTTCTCCCAGGATAAATGTGATATCTGTTTGTAGCGAGACTACTTTGAGTCCATTGTTATACCTGTGAAACAATTTAAAAGAAAAAATTCAAGTTGGCCCTAAAATGGAGATAGCTTATGCAAAAAGTTGTTTCAAAACAAAATACTGTTGAAGGTATACAACAGGAAAATCCTTCATCTTTTTTGCAGAACGAGCAATTGAAGTTGCTAAAAGAGGTTACTCTACCCAAAGGTTTTTTTTTTTTGTTTCCTTTGTATCTTATACATGTTAAAATTGCTATTCACAGAACATTATGGTTAAATTGATAAAAGCCCTGAAAGGCAAAAGTTAAATACAAAATGTTAACTGACCTTCAGCTATAACAATCTGAATGTGATACTGTAATGAATTCATTTGACTTACCAAATAAAAATGCATTTGTTAAAGTCACACTGCAATGAAAGCATACTGTACTCACTGCTTTCTCTCTACAGAGAAAGATCTCTTTATATAAGGCTTCCTTCCTTACCTCTAGGTCACAGCTGTATTCTGTGCCATCCAGGAGCATCACTTTACACTGTACGGTTTTAATCTTCTTAGGAGCTTTTTGAGGAGCTTTCTCCATTTTGATTTCAGCTGTCTGCACCTCTTTGGTCTCCCTTTTTCCTGTTTCTTCTTCTAGTTTTTCATCTGGTTCTTCTGTAACCTTTTCTACTTCAATCTCTTTACTGTCTTCCTTAGCTGGCTGTAAAAAAAATATACAGCTTAATACAGTGATGACTCAATCCCACAAGAGCTAGACAAGTTAAAAGAAAAGTTCATGCTCCTACATACCAATCATGTATTATACTTTCAACTGTTTCACTGAAGTTATTCATCCAAACCACAATAGTTGGAAGCACAATAAGTAGTTTAAATATTATGATTATCCCCCCTTTGGGAAAAGATACCGACAAACCATGTTTATTTGTCATTTCAGTACAAGTTTGAAAGAGAAAACCATTTTCCTTTTTCAGAATTACAATACATTTTTATAGGAACTCAGAATACAGTAGGAAACTGCATTAGCATTCAAAACCTACAGGCCACTGTGGCTAAAATTAAAGGACACCAATTAAAGATGCTTTCGGGTATAAGTATCCTTAGTCAGGCTGAGGATGCTTCCTCAGCTTGATGAAGGGTATTTATGCCCCAAAGCTTGCAAAGAAGAATTTTTCCAACTATCTCAGTTGGTCTAATAAATGATATCAGATTTACCCAAAGAAGGTTGTCTGCCAGTCATTCCTAGTATAATTTCAGTACGTCACAGATTTACAGCAGAGTTACACTAGCAACAGAAGAGTTACACTGGCAGTGTACCTGACCCAGTAACTATTTATCATCTCCCTGAACCTACCTGGGTCTCAGCACTACTAACAGAGTGCTTTTCTTCCTCCTTGTCGTCTGTCTTAGTCTGATGGTTCTCAGCTGCTTCTTCTCCCTTCAGCTCAGCCACCTCCTCTGGAAACTGACGTTCACATTCTTCAGCATGTTCATCACCCTCAGCCTTTTTCTTAGCTTCATCTTTGGGCTCTGCTAAGCTATAGGATTTCTGTTTCTTAAGCCATGGGGGGAGGAAGCGAGAAATACCCTTGCCTTCAGACGGATCTCTCTCCTTCCGGCTAGTTGGGCTGCTTTGGCTAGTTGGTACTGGGGAAGAGGAAGAATCTTGTGTCTCTTCTGTTTCTTCAGTTTTTTGATTTTCTAGACTCTCCGAGGCCTCCTCAGGCTTTTCCTTGGCAGTGTCTGGCTCCAGCTTCTCAGCCTCTTTCTTTACTTCAGCTTCTGAGCCAACTTCGGTCGTCATGATCACAGGCTATGCTAGAATTGCAACAACAAAAAATTGTTTTGCAGTGTTTCAACATTATAATTTTTGGCACTCAACACATTTTAAAGTCATGATCTAAAAGTTAAAGGAATTACAAACCAAGTTCCATAGGTTTTAAAGGACTATTTTACTCCATCCCATTCAAACTCTACAAACAAAAGTAACAGCAAACCAAATTATATGTCATATTAGCCATCAAAAACTTAAAAAAATACATCATACATAGACCCACCCATGTTTTTCTCTAGGGTCAGAGTGCTCATTAACAACTAGAAGCAATACTGAAATACACTCACTATAGTACTATAAACTGTCCCTACTATTAATGAAGACTAAATATGAAAGAAGCTTCAGTGAGTAGTTTTTACTCTTATATAATTTTCAAAGAGAGGTATAAGCAACCAATTTATTGTTTGTTCAAATTTCAGAAGGGGCAGGACACCCCTTCCATTCAGCCTTCTTTGAAGAGTTCAGTGAGGCACAAATGCTGCTTGCAGAAGTCAATGGAACTTTTATCACTAATTAGAGTGGGGCCAGGATTTAACCCAAAATATCTTCAACTACTTCAGAAGTCAAGATTAATTAGACTGGAAGTATAGAAAAATGACACTGCTGTTAAGGAAAAGCAATTTAAAACTCCTATCCCATATTTTGTACCTCCCACTATGTTTCCAAACTTATCATTAGCTACAGCCATACCAAATCTCACCTAAAATAAACTGATATTTTTGTTAAACTTACAGCTACATTGTCTTCTACTTAAAATCAAAATCATTACTAGAGCCAGGCACAAACTGAGTACTAGCAATCAAGCTTGTGCGTTTGCTAGCTCTATATAGATTGTTCACTTTTAGGGAATGGACAATTTGCATGTGTATTTTAAGAAACTTTTGATTATTTTAATTTTAAATCAAATACGCCTCATTTGAAGGTGACAAGAAAGATCAGGATAGGAATGAAGATGATTAAAAAAAACTGTTTCCCTGAACAAATTGAACACATCAGCCAAGAACATTGAGTTAATACAGATCTAATGGTGCCCCACATAGTTATAATCCATAGGGTTTAGGGTTTGTTTGTTTGTTTTCCATTAGTTTATTTAAATTTTAACTACTTCAGGACAATAAAAGAAAATACATAGCTGATTTTAAAGCAAGTCTATTCTCAATCAGAAGTTTACAACAAAGCACAAAAACAGCATACACAGTTATAAATACAGTAACCTCCCTCTTACACCCTTTAGCAACTGTATCTTCTGAATTGTTTTTTGGGGTTTTTTGTTTGTTTTACAGAGGTGGCTAGCTGTGTTAGGTCTAAAGTCTGGCAGAGGCATGAGCTTTTTGTAGGCAACAACCTACCATATTTTGTCAGGTATGAATTCATAGCATCTGACAAAGTTGGTTGCTCAGGCCTCTCTGAACCAGTAATCCCTTAAATGCCACCCTGCCCAAACTTCTGCCCTTCTTTTAGAAAAATTACAGTATCCAAGAAAAGCCAAAACTATAAGGAAGATGGATTGCATCCATCCAGATTATCCATGTTAAACACTAATGCAAGTGCCTTCTGATGTTTATTTGGCTTGATTACCATTTGGTTTTGATCCAGTGATGTTGAGGGCTTAGGTTTGTTCCTCCACACACATGCTTTCATAATGATAAATAAAAGGCAGAAGGTAGCTGCATGCAGCTGTGAATCTCGATGATTTATTTTTAAGTGGCTGGCAGATTTCAGAATCTGTTTGGATTGCCCGAACTGAATTAAGAAAATTGAGGGGGGGGGAGGCAGTCTAAGGTAGAGTTTTAAATTTTTAGAGGCTATAAGATTATACTAATTACAACTTATTATAATCCAGGTTACCCTTTTCTTCAAGTAAGCCCTATTTTGAAAGGGAGAGCCCAACAGCATGCCAAGAAGCTATCTGTCACCTATAAAATTAATTCCAACCACTCCATTCCCTGAAACTGAGAACACTCCTTCAATGAAGCCTACTGCCAACAATCCCCCATGTAACAAACCATTAAAAAAGCATTCACTAGTAGAGTTCCGTTCAGTGACAAGAGCAAAGTCACGAGAGAGAAGAGAGTGTGTGCATACATGGGCACACACACATGCACACTTCCATTTTAGAAGCTGAACCAGAACAATAATAATAGGACACTTTCTGAAATAAGATACTGAAGTAAGAGAGAAATTAAAAAGACTGAACTGATATTTGAGCCCTATAACCACATTAAAGAAAATTGCTTTAAACTCACACTTAAACACTCATTTGTTAATTTTTTCCACTTATTAAAGAGCTTCAAATTAAGCAGCTCTGCCATATTTAATAAAAGTTTAAAGGCATTGACCTACTGTCTAACTTGAAGATTAAAGCAGAATTTGTGATTAAGAATATGGTATGCCAGCGATTAAGTTGCTACTAGTCAAATCATATTTTGCTAATGATTTCACATTAGTTAATTCAAAGGTTTAGTCCCTCTCAAAAGTCAAAATGTGTTATCATCAAGGAAACAAAATAGTTTTTCTGGAAAACTCCACAAATATTTTCTAGTCATAAGTAATCCACAATACACCCATCTCCAGGTACAGCACAATGAACCTTACAAGTTTCAACTGTTAGTGGTACTAATTTATGCAGTTGGATACATTTGATGAGGAAGCAACAGAAAATAAAATGTGCATTAATCAGCCTATTAAAGTCTTAGAGAATCTGGCCTCAATTTGTTTTAAAAGTGGCATTCACAATTTTTGCTTTATTTGAGAGCAAATGTTTTCATATTTATTCTTTCATTTAATATACCAAGACAAAATATATACATACTAAATGTAAACTGTATTTATTTTAATTGTACTCTCTTCCCTCCCACCATGTTGTCTGCAAGTTTTCAGAGGGCATCATTGCATTTTTTTCAAGACCACAAGCCATAAAAGCCATAGTGCATACTGGAGGTATGGCAAGAATACTATTGTGGTAAGACTAATGTTTACTTCATTTGAAAGGGTAGGAGAAACAACAGCTAGCTTCAGAATTTACGGAAGAAGCAACATTCCATTCACTGGTCAATCTTTCCCAAGTCTTGCAAAAGGCTTATTTTCATTACGTTTGATGCTGCTTTACCTTCAGTGCATTTAACTTTATACTTTGCACAATGCAGTTTCCCTCACAGCCTTCTGCATTTTCCAATTTAATCAATTCCAAAAAATGCATCAGCAATTTCTTGACTTTTAATGTGGTCCGTCTAAAATCTCTGGCACTTGGCAAAAATGTTTCTGAAGACAGTTTTATTGGTTCAACAAAACAAACTTATTCCCCTGCTACAAATTCTATAGGCATTCAATATTCAAAAAACAAACAAGTGCGTGTTTGTGACAGGGCTGAGAACATGTCCATTTCTGTGCATTTTGCTTTGTCAGCATCTTTTATGACTGCACTTGCCTTAGGGACTAGAACCTCCATTTTGCACGTGGCCAACCCCGTTTTGAGCTGTGTGTTAAGAGCTGATCTAAACTAACTACACACATAGCCTACGTGAGATATGCAACCAAACTAGAGAATGAAAGGGCATTTCTGCCTTTAAGAAAAGCGAAAGCTAGAAAGTCATACAACCAGCTCCCAAGATTTATAAATGATTCTTATCCTCTTTGCTACCCACTGTAAAACAAGGGGTGTTGTCCATGTGAACCCAGCATGACTGGAGGTTCATAACCAAAACTGCATTAATGAACAGAACAACTTCTGGGTCAGGGTCAATTACTGCAGCACCAGAAGGAACATGCTATACAGGAAACAGGGAGTCTCCTCCTGGCCTGAACCCTGATCCTGTCTCACCCCTACTTTGGGCATCTGTTTTCATCTATTTGTCATTTCCCCCATAAACATAACTATGTGCAAGAATGAGAGAGAAATTAAAACAAGTGCAGTTCCTCTACAAAGCCTACAGGTTATTTGCTATAACTGCCGTATAGTTTCATGAAAGGTGTAATCAAAGACACCAGTGCTCAATGAACTTCTCAGGCTGCTTAGATAAGTTTCCTCAAAAGTCCACTTGGCTCTGGAAGGCTCAGGCTCTAAGAAGTTGGATGGTGGCCAAGGGCTGCCAGACCTTAGTCTACACATGAATGATCCAAACAGGAGGAGTCACTTTGAGACTACCCAGAACCAAGAAATTTAGCAGCCCATGTCTCCCCCTCACACTCCTGGTATCCATTCAGTAAGTGAGACTGGACTCTATATCCATCCATCCATCCATCCATCCAGGCAGGCAACAAATCAAAATAATAAAACTTTAGGGGAGATTAACTTGCTGGTTATTTTCAGACAGCAGGCTCTCTGTTTCTATCAAAGAAAGATACAATTCTTGAAATGGGGTCTGGAAAAGATGGTTATCCATGTGAGAAAAGTACTGGAAGGAGGTGGTCACAGCATTTTTTTTCTTACAAGCTTTGGATCATTTCTTAAACACTCTTAAGAATGAAAAACAAATGCCAAGATAGTCACCATTTTATTTTCATGTCAAACATGTCCATTTTCATGATCAGCATAATTCTTATACTAGGCATTTTATCCCTTTGCAGGTTGTTTCGTCTTATTCCAGCGAGCTAAATGCTGCAATTACATTATTTAATTCAGAGGTAGGCAAAATACAGCCCATTGGCCAGATCCAGCCCACCAGGCCATTCTATCCAGCCCACAGAGCCCTTAAAAATTTTAGAAAATTAATATTTATCTGCTCCTGGCTGCCTGTCAAAAAATGACAGGAGTCAGGGGCAGTAGGACTCAGCAGCAGTAGGGAAGACAGCAGGATTCAGCAGCCCAGAAGTAAGGCCCACCCAGCCCGGCCCCACCCCCAGCTTCCTCCTGCCCCCCTGGCCTGGGACCCTGGTACTGTTTCTGCCTCCCTGAACTGGAGAGAAACTCAGAGAACAACTGGGGGGGCAGGGAGGCAGAGGAGGACTGCAGGCAATTGCCCCAGTCCTCAAGGCTGGGCCAGCC